CTTTTTTTTTTAATTAATCTAGCTAGCTGATTTATTTGTGCTAAGCTAACTCTAATGTAATTTTGACCAAACGTGAGTGGCTTATCTTTTCTAAAACTTGCCAAATTAAAATTGTAATTCCTTCAGTTCTTTCAGCATTGAGGTGCTAATCAGTGTAAAAGTTGAGCTCTGTGATTGCAGAAACAGTACTTTTTTCTTTCTTTGATATATATATATATATATATATTTTTTTCTTCAATCATGGGGTTGATGCTTCTCTCGATAAGCTACACCGACTGTTTGCTGTTTAGTTTTTATATTTTCAGTCACAGTTCTCGGAGCGATCGCCGACGCCGTCGTAATGCTCGGCATCCAGACCGCTCTACCAAGGATTTGTACATAGTCATTAAATATCAATTTTTAAAAAAGCTTAAAAAATATATTAACTTGGTACTCAGCCGTGTTCTGGCAACAGAAATATCTACCAAATATTTAAATGCCAAATTGTTTTGTTTTTGCTCTTTGGTGTCCTCGCAGTAACCTTCCTGTGATTTACTGTAAATGTAAGTTTTGATACTACCGATGCTAATACTAACGCCTCTAATGTCCTCCAGTGTTTTATTTTCCCACCTGTAGATCAACTAGTTCCCCTCTGTTATTATTTTTAATTAATTTAACTGTCAAATTATTTTATTGCCTTCCTTCAGGTTTGGGTGTTCACCCTTAAGCTGTTGTATATGTGATTTTTAAAAGTTTTATATACACTAGTTTCAGATTTCCAGCAAATAGTTTTGAAACTTTTTATTTGGTAAGAGTGTCTATTATCTTTTTAGACTTTTTGCTTTTGTATTTATGGTTTTGTTTTTTGTAGAAGGATTGATTATGTGGTTGCTGTACGTCTCTTCGTTCGAGGGATGTTGTGTCGATGAGCCACGTTGCCGTCAGCAGACCTCGGGTCGATTCTTGGCGACTCGCTTTTGTAAATCTGGACGCGACCGGCGACGCGAGCAGCCGCACAGTTACAAAAACACTGACAAAACGCTGCTGCCCGTGTCCTCTGGTGTGCCGGGAGGAACGAGCTGACCTCTGACTCGGGCAGAGGAGTAAATCTGATCAGATTACGCGAGTTTAAAAAAGAATATTTCAAAAAGCAGTCGGTCGTCGGCCCCAGGTCTGAGTCGGTAAACATGGGAGGGTATGTTCTGCTGCTTAATGTCACAAATACCACACGTGAATCATCGGAGTGGAGCCAATGAATCATTGGTTTCTCAATGCTGGTTCCGATTTATTGAAAATAAAGTTATTTTTATGCACATTAACATTTTAAATGTGTGTTTTGTTTTATTTCCTGAGGGAAAGATGACTGAAGAGACACCTGATCACAGGGGGTAAATCCCCCTCAGTGGTTTTCTTTCTAGTTTTTACTCTGACAGCGTAGGAGTCCTGCTAGCTTTGCTTTCTTAGTATTTTGTGTTGCACAAACAGTGCAGGCGTTGTTGCCAAGGAGACGAGCACAGTTTAAACGCACAAAACCTTTTTTGCACGATTTATTTTATTAGGCAGATGATAACAAAGGTACTTCAAGTAACTAAGGAGCTGCTTTCACTGTCA